TGACTAGTCTTACCGAGCAAAACAATTATTTTTTAATGCAAATAAATTTACCTTTTAAAATGTCTGGCTTTGTAAAAATAACAAAACTTTGAAAAGTCACATTGCATTAAAAATGTTTTCCTAAGTACACTTTTATCAAGTGTTTTGCTTTGCTTTTAAAACCACTTTCTCTCTGATGCAATAATTCTATAGTCATGCATCCCTGAACCTACATATGCTACAAGACTCACCCTACGACTTGGAGTATCCAAGACAAACAATGAGCCCAAAACCAAATGAGAAATTAGACTTCACAACTATGGCACACTCATCCAGGATTGTGGAGCCAAAGTCTGAGTGAGGCCCACTGAGATGCTGGAAATGAATTAGGAAGATATTTTCTTTTTCTTAGTTTCTTACGCAGGATGACTGTTTCCAGGCCAAGTCCTTAAGGTACCATTCTAGGAATTATTCATTTGTGTCTGGGTTTCTCAGTCTTAGGACTTTTGACATGTAGACCTGAATCATCCTTGGGTGTGGGGACTGACTGTCTTGTGAATTGTAGCATGTTAACAGCATTCTTAGCCTCTACCTAGTAGCATCCAATAGCAACCTTTCCCGAGTTGTAGCAACCAAAAGTGTCTCCAGACACTGCTAAGTGTTTCCTTAAAAGAGTTATATCACCCCTAGTTGAGCTTATGCTACTACAGTAATGGTTTCAAACATTTCTGAAAGCACATTGCATATATATATTCATCTGTGTATATGTTCATATATATATTTAAATACATGCACTTATATAGGCTTCAAAAAGTTCTAGGAACGTTCCATCATTTTTCAATTCAATTTTTCTATGAAATTTTTGGAGCCCCCTCATATATATTCACATGTACACACCTATACTATCATCACTTATTATATATTGCATTGTGTCATCCCTCAGAATCTGTGTCATCAATCCTAACTTTCATGCAGCAACAATGGACTCAAACCTAACAATTGTGAAGATGACACAGGACCAGGCAGTGTTCTATTCTGTTGTGCACAGCGTGTCATTATGAATCCTCATTGATTCCATAGCACCTAACAACATCAAAGACTGTAGTGATAGTTCTGCTAATGAATCAGGATTAGTGCAGGGCATGTCTTGAATCAGGAAGCTACTGGAAGAGACATGCCAAGTTCAGGAAGATTTCCTAGGAGCATAAGCTCAGAAGAGTAAAGGACCTTTTCTCAACAGTTGACAGAGAGAGAAAGCCTTACCCTAAAGCCAGCACCCTTAATTCAGACTTCTAGCCTCTTAAACTATGAGAAAATGAGTTTCTGTTTGCTAAAGGCATCCACTGGTGGTATTTTTGCTATAGCAGCACAAGAAAAGTAAGAATTTCATAGTGCTGCTCTAACAGAGACATAAAATGTGAATGTAGTTTTGGAATTAGGTAATGAGTAGAGGCTGAAAGACTTTTAAGGTGCCAAATAATAAAATCTTGGATTGTCCTGAAGAGATTGTTGGTAGACTTATGAATGTCAAATACGATTCTGATGAGGGCTCAGAGGGAAATGAGGAAAGCTATAAATCATCTTATAGAATACACATGGCATCGGCATTAGAATGTTGCCAGAAATGTGAATGCTAAATATGTTTCTGGTGAAGTTTTAAAAGAAAATAATCAACCTGTAATTGGATAATGGAAGAAGGGTATTGCTTTTTATAGAGTGACAATTTGTCTGAACCATGTTCAAATATGTGGTGGAAAGTAGAGCTTAAAAGTGATGAATTTGGGTATCTGGCTGATGAGTTTCTAAGCAAAATCTTAAAAGGAAATGCAATGTTGCTCCTTTTATAGTAAAATAAGAGAGGGAAAAGATAAACTTAAAATGAACTGCGCAAAATGGAAAAAAAAAAACTTTAAGGATTTGGAAATTCTGTCATACAAACTAAGGACATATGTCCTAGAATTTTTAGCAAGAATGTGGCTGTACAATCCTTTGTTAACGTGATTAAGCCTGTAACTGAAGTACATAATTACCACAGCAGATAAGCTATTAGTTTAGATATGGGGACAATGAAAGAACAAAGGGAAAGAACTCTGCCTCTTGGGATTCTACAGACAGGAAACAGGCCAAGTGAACTCCATCTGCTGTCCTACCTGCAGTATCTTAGAGATCAGTAAAACTTCAAAGGGATTGCAAATGAAAGGCCTACTTGGCTTCAATGGGAGGAACACAGTCTCTTGGATCTCAAAGGTGAGACTACTTGCTTTTAGGCTTTTAAGAGTCAGATCTTTGACAACTCAATTACAGAGTGTGAGGCTGCTTTTAAGTTGCATCAGAGTGGTAGGATCACTTCTCAAAGTAGTTGGGCTTCCATGTCCAAAGGGTAGAAGAACAAGGACTGCTGGAGCTTAGGGACTAGAGTAACCACTTAGATGGACTAGCCCAAAGTCAAGGGAGCCAAGTACAGTAGAAGGAGTAGAGGAAGTAGAAGTAGAGTTGTTGACCCAGTGGGCATGGAAGTCAGAGCTTATGCCCAGGTCTAAGTAGCCTCCAGTCAGAATCCAAAGGGCAAGGCCAGCATCCAGAGTGTAAAGGGTGACGCCATTGTCATCTAGCCTGATAAAAGAGGATTATTTTCAAGCCTTGAGGGCTAATGCAAACTTTTCTTCGGAGGTTTTAGTCTTACTGGGTTCTTGCTATCGCTTCTTTCTCTCCAATTTCATCTGTTTGTAATGGGAAGGTCTACCTTGTGTCTGTTTCATCACTGTTCAAGGGGACTTCAAAAAAGTTCATGGAAAAGTTCCATTATCTTTCAATTCCATTTTTTCAAGAACATATTGAAGTCTCTTATATTTAGAAAAGTGGAAACTTGTATTCTGTATTTTAGAGGTTGACAGATGAAGACAAATTTTACCCCAATACGATCTTACTATTATTTGATTGAGATGCTTTGGAAGATGAGATTTTGGACTTGGAGATGAATGAAGCCTTTGGGGATTATGTGATTAGGTAAATGTGTTTTGCATGTTGCAGGGAAAAGGAATTTTTCAGGACCAAAGAGTGGAATGGTCTGGATTGAATTGTGCCTCCAAAATGTGAGTTGTAATTCACAAGTTCAAATCTTGGGTTACAATCCCATTTGGGAATGGATTAGCTATGTTGTGTTAATGGCACAGAATTAGTATAGGTGTCTTTAGTCAAAGGAGATTTCTTGTAAGATATAAAAGTTTAAGCAAGTAAGCGAGGAATCATTGGTGGCAGAAGACAGATGCCAAGCACATAAAGATCACCCAAGAGTAGTTCAGAAGAGCCAAAGGTCTTCCTGCAGAGGTGATACAGTGACAAAATCTTCTTCTTGAGCTTAGATAATCTGTATAAATACTAAGGATAATACCTGAAATATAATTTATATTTAATAACTATTGTTCATTATTATTTACAGTGCAAATTCATCTTGAGTACCTGGTTGGAGACCCCTGGTAGGCACGTTGCTCTAATAAAATCAAAGCCATAGTTTCAATTCCTCAGTCCCTCAATGACACAGATGGTTAGACTTTTGATTACTATCTCAAATGTTATTGTTTCAAATCCACTTGGTGCCCGGCTATCAAAAGATACAGCATCTGAGGTCTTAAAAGCTTGAAGGTAAACAAGTGGCCATCTAGCTCAGAAGCACACCAGCCTGTGTGATCA